CTGATGAAGGGTCTAAAGCCCGAAACGTCAGCCTTCCTGCTCCTATGATGCTGCTTGGCCTGCTGTGTTCATCCAGCTCTACACCTTGTTATCTCAGATTTTCCAGCATCTGCAGTTCCTACTATCTCTGCTCCTACAGTGGGTTTGATGAACTGAGCAACAAAATGTAGGTCAAAGTGGTTTGTAATTCCAACACTCTTTGAGCACTAACTTCCATGTTGCATTATTAGAAACATTACTTGTTCCTCATAGTCATTTTTATCTTCTTATTCTGGCAAAATAGGTTAACCATCATGGTGACAGAAATGAATGCTACATGAGGCTTCTTCTCAACGGGAAGTTACGGAAATGCAGCAAAAAAAACTGCTCTGGCAATCCTGGAGGTGAGATAGGAGTCACCCTAATCAATCCAGATAAATTAATAGTATTTATAATAATTCTAAGAAATGATGAGGTTTTAAGTCCTTAGCACAAAGATCAAGTCAAGTGTAGCATATTGATTTTCTCTGTGGTGAACTGAATATAAGAATAAAAAAAAAGGAGCTGGAGTAGGCATTTGAGCCTGCAAACTGTGCCACCATTTGAGAAGATTGCGGCTGATCTTCTTGCTCAACTTCACTTCTCTGTACTAACCCTATTACCATCTTTGAACTCCTTTAGTATCCAAAAGTCTATGAATCTGTCTTGAATATGCTAACATGCACAGCTCTCTGGAAGCAAAAGTGAGAATACTGGCTTGAGCTAACATGATACTTTCCCTGGTTGCTTGCAATTTTTCTCAGATGCTTTACACTCAACCTAGCTCTAATTTTTAGTCACCTCCTTGTGCAAGAAGTGCCATTTCTGCACATGCTTTCAGTAGCCAAATTAGGGTCTTGTGGCTTAGCGGTAGTACTCCTCGCCATAGGCCAGCCTGTCTGGGTTCAAGTCCTACCAGTCCTAATGGTGTGTCATAATAAGTCTGAACAAGTTAATTAAGAGTATATTTCCTCCAGGGGCTAGATTGGCTGGCTGGACAAACCTACTGAATGAAATTGCGTCTTCACATTGCTGCTATTGCTAAATGGATACGATTTCAGATATACGCTATGGTAGCTTGGAAACAGCTGATGCTACAAGAACAGATGGCAATGGTCACTTTGTTAACCATCAACACTCCAATCCCTATATTTGACGTTGGCAGCAAATTTCCCTGAAACATGGGTCTGTAACTTTCTTCCTCATAAACCTGAATTTTATAAAGCTAGTATTCCTTAGTCATTGTTCAAGGAACTGTGCACCTGGGGATGCGATGAGAAACATAGCGACATATCTTCCAACACTCCAGCCACCCTCTCTGCTCATGCTTACTTTGTTTCCACTAGAGTATTACGAGAAATTAACAGCAATTTCTGGAATTTGGTGAGCAGAAACATTGACAGTTTTTCTTTGAAACCAATCTCATGTGTATTATTAACCATATGCAAATCGCAATAACTGTAAAGTACACAGAACTTGTCCAAAAGCTTCAAGACATATTTAGTTTCTTTATCCTCAGAAAACATGGACTGCTGTATACCTATTTATCAGTAATTCGCTGGATAGGTTACATTGAAAGCAGTAAAATAATCTTCATAACCTATAACAGTCAGTGACCATTCCTTAATCTATCTTTGTTCAAACTAAGAACTCAGTGCCTCAATAAAAAACTGAATATACAGCAGCTGGCTAGATTCCAACATGCAAGACATAGGATAACCTTTATGGTTAGTTGTTATAGGTAAATTTAGGGTACTA